GTTGCCAACACACCGTCTGTAAGGCAAAAATCAATTCTCACTTGAAAAAGAGTTTTAACTATTATATTTTGATCAAGATACTGAACTTGTACGCCCTCTACAAAACTTTAAAGTACCAAATTACTAGAATCATATAGACGAATTATCATCCCGTCTTACCTTCTTGATTACAGTAATCACACACTCAAAGCAAAAGTTTAAAATAAACGTATTTATTAGCACGTCAATCTGATGAAGACATAAAATTTAGTATAACAGAAATTATCTCGGCTGCCAGCGGGAAATTCAGAATACGATGTTCAAGTCAAACTGAATATGAAACACAAAGTAGCACACCCTGAATTAACCTTGGCTCAATTTTTAATATTCGCGTAGCAAATGCAACTTGCCGAAGCTGAAGCGAAGCAAAACAACAACAACATTTTCATACGTGACATAATCTCTTTTGATGTAATTCCATTTGCTTAGCAAACTTTTACTTCACTGAATAATTTCAATAAAGAAAACTAAGTATATATAACAAAATAAAGATGAAAGGCTCTTGTTGTCTTTCCAGATTTCTACTTATTGTTAATAGAATATTTAAAGTCTTAAAAAAGAAAGACAGAGAGAAAGAATGAACGTTGGTTTCGTCTAAAGCGTTACAGGCAACGTATGTCTTTAACGCACTTAAAAACGCAATGTTCTTTAGATTTTAAAATCTTCCATTGGAATGGCTAAAATTTTAACATGCTGTTAAGCCTAAATATTTTAATATGTCGGCAGAATGCCGCTCGTGTTACTGAGATAGACTGGCTATAAATATTGTCTTAGTGTCTCCAGCGGCAATCACAAATTCTGGTAAACTTTCAGGAATCTTTTATTAGAAAAGGCGAAGAGTAAAAAATGTGTGAGGCTTGAACGCATTCACTTGATCTTAGAAGAGTCTAGGGGAAATTCTTCATCCCTCCTATAATCCCTGAAAGGGGCACAGCAGTCAAATTGTTTCCTATTAGGATGCGGTGCATTTATCGCATCGGTTAGAAGTGCAATTTTTAGCGTTAAATTTAGGGAAATAAAGTTTTGGGTATTATTATTATTGTTTAACAATGTTTTATCCGAAACACTGTGTACAATGAAGGCTATTTTAGTAGGATTTATTTTAGCAGTTGACTTATTTTGTTTTTGTTACTTAACTACTCACCAAGAAACGTTTGTTGAGAAAAGTTTTGTTGTAAAATAAAACAATAAAATAATGGATCAACCATATTTAATTTTTATTGAATACTGTTGCGTGCATACGGGTTCATAATGGATTGAATCCACACACAACCAACCACTGCTCGCTTTGAAATAGCTAAGTTCCTTAATCAAAACTCGTTAAAGTTTAAAAAATATAAAATAGATAATAAAACAAATTCAAAATTAAAGTTCAGGCTTCCGGTTGCCCATATTCTGGTGGAGGACTACGTTATTCAAAATTTGATGGCTCCAAGTATCATTGTTTTTCACAATGCGAGATACATACGTACGTTCATGCAGATTCTTCATTATTTAATTTCTTTAAATATAATACAGGAGGATAATACTTGGTGCCCACAGTCTGAAAAGTGATTTCGAAGAGGCGTTTCGAGACTAATAACCATTCCGGGCTAACGCCTCTTTGGACTGAACAAAATACTACCCCATCAGCGGTCAAGCGGTAAAGTTGCTGAACACTGGCTGCATGGGTGTTTTTGTGGTATTCCCCATGTATAACGAGTATACGAGCCAGTTTTCCTTGGAAAGTCTTCCACAAAGGTATCCCTCCCCTTAGGCAGATAGCCCTTGGGTGCTTTGCCATAATCAAATATATAAATAAAAAAACACAAATTCACTAAAATTATTTATATATATCCAAGATAGATTGATAAAATATTCAATAACTTCTATCTTGAACGACACTCACTCAGTAAAGAGCAAAAGAGGCAGGAAAAGAAATGCCAAAAACATGAAAGTAGTACTAAATCAAGTATAGTGAACTTAGACAAACGTTTTGCAGAGGATTTCTCAATGAAGGAATTGAATAAGTCTATCAAGGACATTCAAAACGGTAAATAACCAGGACCAGATAATATATTCCCTGAATTCATAACACATTTGGGACAATCTGAAAGGAATTTTCTTTTAATTATTTACAATAAGTTCTGGGATGCAAAACTCAATCTCTCAACGAACTGGCTGAAGGCAAAGATAATTCCGATTCTAAAGTCGGGAAAACGACCTGAAGATACAGAATCGTACCTACCAATTTCACTGACTTCCATTATAGTCAAAACGTTGGAAAGAATGATAACCGCCAGACTAAGGTTTTGCCTGTAGTCAAATGAGATTCTAGGAGAAGAACAGTCTGCTTTCAGAAAAGACATGACAACTACTAATTCAATTTTGAAGTTGGTTCACAAAATTAAAACCGGTTTCAATTCGAGGAGGAGCTTTCTTTGTTGATTTCCAGGGAGTCTACGATACAATATGGAGAAGGAGCTTCACTCTTAATGACTACAACCTCTTCATAACTTTCGTTCCAGATATATCAGTTGCATACACACAATATACAAAATATGCACAATATGCACCATGCATATTCGCCACTATAATATGCTCGAACATTTGAAAGTCGTTTACAAACCGAGCACGCTATTAAAAAAATTTAATAAATGGAACAAATATATTATATACACACACCCTATCCATAAAAGTCCATACCTGGCCTTTATTCACGCAACATTGGTCGTATACTTCTAATTACAATATACAATACTTATTACAATACTTCCGAATACAAAAATGTATTAAATAAAGCTAATAGTCAAGCTAAAATTTAAACAAATCAGTTTTGCAAAACGAAATATAGTTTTTGGTATGTTCCTCTCGATCCTCTATTCTTATATTTAGGAATATTTTAAGACTCATTATAAAAAATAACTTTTAAGACCGTATAAAAAGTCAGATATCATAATATTTATATATAAGTGGGACTAAGTGGAGAGTAGGTGGAGTTCCGGGAATGACTAAGCAGAGTCATGAGCTGTACTCTGGTACTTTGCAGTGAAGCTGTCTTTATCGTTATTGCCTGATCGTGTGAAGGCTGTGTCTCTGATTGTTCCAGCGAGTTTATAGTAGCAAATCTTCGACGACTGTGTAAACGTGTTATTGGAGCTGTCCTGATTAATATTAGTAAATAAAGTGGAAACTGACAGTTGGAAAGGTTACCAAACAAATAGAACAGAAAAAGAAGGATTCCTACAATCTAAAGTTAATCATAAATACAATTTTATTGATCCTGATACAGGAGTTCATACACAAACAGTTAAGAGAATGTAGAAGAGTGCTAAATGGAGAAACTAGAGACATAGGGGAACAGTGAGACATCATTTAGCATCTTATTTAGCAGAGTTCATATGGCGACAGTATCAGGTCAAAGAAAATATAGAGACTTTTTTGAATTTACGTTAAACTCTATATCAGCCCATTTTCCACCAAAATCCGATGTACTACTTTGATTTTAAATAAATTGTTTTGATTTTTGAAAGTATTTTGATTTTAAATAAAGCGTTTTAATTTATGATTTGTTGCAAAAATTTTAGGCGTAGATTGGCAGCACTTAAAAACTGCCAAATCTGCAGCTGTGGTGGCGTTAATACGTAAGTACCGAAAACATAATAATCTTAGTCCTTGGAAACTTAATTGAAAAAATATTGATTACTTTGGATGGTTTGGTTTCTTTGATCATGGTAAAGCACTTAAGGAATATCTTCCTAAAGGAAGGGATATTTTCATGGCAGAACTTTATAGGAAAAACTGAAATGTGTACACGTTACACATGGGGAAAGCAACAAAAGTGCCTATGAGCCAGCCCGTTCACTGGGATTTAAGCCCCGAACTGAACTACCAGCATTCAGCGACATTACAGCTCGGCCACTGGTGAGCCCTAATAATTACTGCAGAGAAGAATATGTTCATTTAAGTACAGATAAGCAGAACTTTAGAATATTATTTGTTTAGGAAATAAACAGATTTTTAAAAAATTGGATTTTTGATGTAGACAAGAATGAGTACTACTCTGTTGAGAAGATAAACCTATTAAAAAAAGGTATGTGTTGAATGTGGTATAATTAGTAATGAAATAGTAAAATGGTATAATTGCATAAACAATCAGGCAGTATTGTCTCCATAAAGGACCTTTCATGAAGCATTTTACTCATGTAAATTTACAATACATATAATTTAGAATGCACACTACATTCTTGCCCTTTTTTTATTTGTGAAAATAATAAAAACAACACAAATAATGTAAATAAATGGACATATCTTATCTTATTAGGCCCACTAGTGGCCAAGCAGTAAAGTCGCTGAACACTGTTTTTTGCCTGGGGTTCAATTATCCATGAACAAGTGGGCTGCGAGAGTATTTTCATGATTTTTTCCAGTTTTCTCAAGTGTAACAGATATATTAGCCAGTTCCCTTTAGAAAGTCTTCCCTGATGGTATCCCTATCCTTAGGCAGATAGGCTCCTGAATGCTTTGCCATAATTAAATAAAACAAACTAAATCAAATCAGTTTGTAATTAATAGCTATCATCATTTTATGCATTGGAATTTTGCTTCCTTTTAAGAAAAATGCAGATTTATTTTTCCCAGAACAAAGGCAACTCATCATACTTCTTCATTCTCATTTGCATATAACTTTCACAATGTTAAAGGTATCACATTTCCTTAAGCTTAGATTTTCATAGAATTTATGTACATTCCTAGAGAAACACCAAGTAAGTCAATAGCAAAATTAGAAATTTCATTATCAGATTTATATTAATAACATTCCCATTAATTAATAAAAATATTTCGAAAGAAATCTAAAAGGTATTGTTTCATGGCTTTAAAGCATGTCCAGGGATTTAATAAGCATCATTACTGCCCTTCCTAACCAAAATGGTTATGATGTAGATACTGCAATTTAGAATTTAACCAAAAAGAGACAAAAATGCGATTCTACCTATTTATTATGAAATTACTCAAAAGATACAAGGAACATAAAGATGGCAATTAAACATTTAAAAATAAGTAAACTTCAATCTTCTGGTATAATTGGTTTCAAAGAAATTTTCTTTACCTCAAAAGGTTTCCTATACTAGAAAGTAACAATTAGGTTTCCACCGTAATGCTGAAATTGAAATGATGTATGAAGCTTTAAAAAATAAACAAGAATATAAATACAACAGCAATGCAAGCAAAACCTCCTATTCTAATGAACAGTTTAACGTACTAAAAAAAATGAGTTTTGATGTAAAATTCAGAAACTACTGACAGTCATTCAAATATGTGATATTCTAGAGAAAACATTAAATACAAAAAACACATTGGAACTGTTCAGTAAAATGAATAATGATATAAAAAATTGCTTTCTCCAAAGGTACAAAAATACTGTTATGAACGCAAATTTTTCTGAAATTAGACTGATTGTGAATACTTCTCATGATGCGCAAGATCCATTCACCTTATAAGAAAAATATTCCAAATACATATATCCTATATCCATGTACATATATCCTATATCCTGCACATATTATATACCTGCAAAAGGGTGATCCAGAATGGTGGATTCGGTTTCAAATAACTTTATTTCTAAAATTTGTATACTTAAATTGGGGTTGTCAAAACGAAAAAAATGAATATGAAATCACTAATTAAATAAATGGAACAGAAAGATGGCAATTAAGCATTTAAAAATAACTAAAATTCAACCTTCTGGTGAAACTCGTTTTAAAGAAATTTTTTTTTTTTTTTTTTTACTTAAAAAGGTTTTTCTATCAAAAATAATAATTTAAGTCTGATTTTTTTTTAATCTTAGAAAAGTAATGTTTAAAATTCTTAGATAAAAATCTGAAACGGAAACATTATGTGCTTACAATTACCCTTTTTGTTTAGCTCTGAACTTTTCTGAAACAATATTCCTTTTCATAAATTTTTAACTACACTATAAATTAATAAACACAAATCATGAAATATACATTTCTTGCTAAAAAGCTCAGCAGTCTTACTTAAAAACAGTGAACGAAAATGTATTCTAAATCACTTATTGAAAATAATTATACATAACCTGAAAATAGCTTTAAACTGATGTGATGAAAAGTTAAGAGTTCAGTTTTATCAAGCAGTATAACATATTTTACTTTTAACAGATACAACTTACAAAGATGGAGGAAAATTACAGATTTTTATTCTCCTTGAAAATACTGATTAAATTTTGTGGCTGCTAAAAATTCCAGAATATCATCAAATTATCATAAAATCTAATAACTTCAATTCTGCTAGCGATTTAGACACTAGTGAAGAAAAGTGGTCATACATATAAAATATTTTACACTGCGATATGATAAAATGATTATATATAAAAAATTATTAGTATTTTCACAAATTTTGAACAATATTAAAATCTTTCCCTATCAAATTATATTACATATACATAAATTATTACTCCATAAAGGATGTTGCTGTAGTTCACAAACCTCTAACTAGTACAGCAGATTTAAAATGCTGAAGACTTGAAGGAGATTCAGTAACTTGTTCATGTGTATTGTATATATTTCACTAATTTTCATTAATTACAGAAGAATCACAAAATTTGTGACAACTTAATATATAATGAATTACATAATAAATTTTAAAAAATGTTACATTAGCATACCATATGAAAATCAGTCCAAACTGCCGCAATTTACAACAGATTTAAAAAAAAAAAAAAAAAAAGATACTTTGCCCATTTGGCTTATTATTTCATGTTCAAAATATGTTTAACAAATTTAAATGGCCACAATGAAAATAAAGACCTCATTACAACAAGAAAGACGTCAATGTAGCATTTGCTAAATCAAATATAAATAACTGACATTTGCCTTTATGGTACAGTGATGTCAGTAATACAGATCTGCTCAAGCCACACTAAAGTTATTCATACATGGCTCAATAACTGAATGTGAGACAAGTTTCTGTTTACTTCAAATGAAATAAGTTTTAAATGTAAATTATCATTACAAATTCTTAGTTAAAGAAAACAGAAACTTTAAATTTCTGTTTTAGTATCAGTATATGCAATTAATGTCGAGATGGAGCAGAATATTTAACTAGTACATGAGTAATACAAGTTGTTCTTGTAACAGCAACTTGAAGAGTTATCAGCTTCTATCATGTACAGAAAGCTTTATTGAAGATTAGCAGAAATCTGTATACTATGCAGCTATTTTTATATATCTCTTAGCAAAATTCAGAAGGAAGATCAGTTGAGTAAGGCATACAATTATCTGAAATGAACTGAAGATCAATGGAAGTTCATATCATTCATAAATTAATCATTTTCACATATTCCTACTTGCACAATATTACAAAGCATTTTAAAAAATGGAAAGTATTATTAGGCATTATCATAACATACCTTAAAAAGATCATTAAGAGATAGATACATGTTTGGTGATATTTCTTAGAAAAATTGTGGATCTCTATGTAGTGACAAATAAAATACTCAGAAACTGAAAATCCACAGGTAATACTCCGGTCCTTTAAAAATGTATCTGTGATTCAATATGAAAAACATTCATACTGCAAAAGTGACTCCTAAGGTCTACTAAGGAAAAAAATAACTTCAAAAGGTCATCATGCATATATACTAATCAGCTTAATTCCTATAATTATTAAATCAGATTAAGAATGTGTAGAGACTTGGAGACATTTTACTACACTCAAACTCCCAACCAATATCAATGGAGACGTTAATGTCTTTTTTTAATGAAATAATGGTCAATGGAGTTGATTTATGTTTATTATTGTTCCTTGCATATTATACTAGCTGACTAAATAACTGAATGTGAGCACTCTATATTCACATACCTTATCCACTGCATTAACACCCTTCATATTTAACAAATTCCTCAATGATAATCTTTCAACAGAAAATTATTTCTTACATAAATTATCAGTGAACTATTTTAAAACTTACAATGTAATTAATACTGTCTGGGCACATACAAATCATTCATAGAAAAACTTTTCAGTCTTTAAAATCTAGTTCATTTAGTATTATGATGCTTTCATTAAGCTTCTTTTTTAATAATACTGAATAGGAAATGATAAAAGCAGGAAGTTTTGATGACCATTAGTCATGATGCATGTCATTGAAAATTTCAATAAAAACAGAATAAAGAAAATGAGGGTACTGAGATTCAATCAGTACTGCAAATATACAATTAAAAATAACAGATTTAAAAAGTATAAGGAAATTACTGAAAAGAAAAAAGAATAACTTAATCCATATTTTAGTCCTTAATTATAAATTTATAATCATGGACTAAGACATTAGTGTATATAGTGTATAAAATATTTTTATACACAGAAAAAAATAGCATATCTAAAATAATTTAACTAAATTACATTAGCCACCAAAACAAATCACCTAACTAAAATCTCCTCACTCTTTAATTTTCTCTTGACACGAGTGCTCCCTAGAGCTCTCTTTTTGATGACTTAAGAAATCCTTGCACAAGAACTAAGTAATTTTTGTGTTTTGTTTTGTTTTGTTTACACTAAAATTAAAATTTGGGACTGCATAATACAATTTCATTTTTTCATCAAAACAAATTAAATTAATTATATAAAGCAATGAAGTGCTATTAATTGAACACTTTGGCAACTCTAAACCTCTTTTATGACTTTTTCATTAGTTAAAAATCCAAAATTTACCACAAAACATTTTTCACAAACATAAGTATCACATATTTTTGCTCATTTATTTACTTGTTCTTCTAGATAAGCCAAATCATTCACTAGAGGCTACCTGTGTACAACACCTCATGTACTGATGCCTACAACTGACATGAAAATATATTATTTGTTTCCTGCATATTACCATATTTAATTTTCAATATTAAAATATTAATAGCACACAACTTCTTGTTTAAATAAATGTATAAAAAATCAATATACGTATATATATATACTGCTAAGTTTGGTTTAAATTCCAGCAACCCTATTTTCAATTTTAATTAAAAATAATGCCTTTTAATTAAAACTTCATTTGTTCTTGGCAGCCTTTTATTATGAATAATTTTATTATGTGTAATTTTAGGCAATAATTTGATTCAGAAAAAAAGCTTAATTTAACATGCTTTCGAGCCACCCTTGTTTAGGCTTAAACTACTAGCCCAAATAAGTTTTTTCAATTGTAAAAATTCTTGGGGGTTTTCTTTTAATGTAAATGTTTGTAATTAGTTTGTTTGGTGTTTTTAGGTTTTTTAGCATTTTGATTTTTCTGCGGTTTTTTTGCCAAAAAAATTTATTTTTATATTTTTAGGTTTTTATTTTTGGTTTTTAACTTTTGTATATTATATTGTCATATATATTGGTGTCAATTGGTTGCGAATACATGTAGGGAAAAGATCTGATCATTTTGGAAACACTAAAGTGTTGCTTTAAAGTGAAAATTTGTTTCTATTAAGGCGGTTTAGGGTCTCAAAGGATTCAGAGGAACATGTATTCGGAACTCATTAATCAACTAGGTTTAAGACTTCAAAACACTTTTTCCTTGACAAGTTCTGCTTGAAGCCTTAAACAGAGGAGATTAAAACATGCTTTTGTTTTATTCTGTATTATTTTCAGTTTTGTTTATGCATTTGAAATTTCTTTTAATTTTAAATGTACTTCTTTTGTTTACTTCTTTTCCTGGAGAAGAAATTGGTTAGGTCTTCAATAAGAAGAAATAATTTTTTCGTTTTGTTTCGACATTTCCTTTTTAATGTTTATTAATTTTGGTCTAGTAGCATATGTGCAGATTCGTCTCTTAGGTTTCTTAGAACTTAATTTAAAAATTCTTTTTGGACTTTTAGGAATTATATATATATGTATATACATACTGTTTAGCTATCACAATACTTTCCTATTCATATAATACACAGGTGGCATTTGAAGGAATGAGAGACAAATGATTCCCAGAATGACATTAAAAACACATTTGGATTGCCAGACATTATCATGAAAAAATATTTTCCACAGTTAATTGTTAATGATTTCTGATTTAGCTTCACTTCTCTTGGCATTAGATACCTGTTTATATTTGAAGTTAAAAAAAATTGTTCTGTTTTACACAAGATATTTTAAATAAAGATCATTTAAAGCACATATGCTTTTCATGATTACAATATTACCATAATGAGAATTTAAAAATATAAACCTTAAATGAGAAATTCAATGAACTTACAAAACAGCTTCTTTATTACTTCTGTCCATCAATATGTTTTGACCTCTGCTCTAAAAATTTAGAAGTAAACAATATAAGACAACACTACTTTTGATTTAAAAGACACAAATCTTTTCTAAAAATATTACATGCTCGAACCTTACCAGATGAAAAAAGAAATAAAAGATATCATTTATATCAGTGGTCTCAAACTGGAGGTATATGGGTTGCATGTAGTCCTTAAAGGAATTTTACATTGCTCATGACTACATTTTAGTTATGTATTGTTATCAATACTGCTTTTATAATTTTAGATATGGACTGAGTTTATGTACACAACTGCCATTAAAATAAAAAGAGAATGAATAGGTTGGGGCTTTGTTACTGTATGACACATACTAGTGTTTGTATGCCAAACTCCATAAATGGAAAAAGGTGGGAGAAATTCTTGCATGAATATAATCAGTGCATTTTGGTCACCATACAACAACTAGTGCAACTTCAGTATCCTAGTGTTTCCATTTTTTTTACTGAGGTGATACTTTTTATGAATACATTCAGTCATTCAGGCAGTCAGTTTTTTAGCTGGATGAACAGCTGTGCAATTTATATTACTATAAACATGGATGCAAATTAACATACATCATATATAACCAATTTACTTGTGTTTGTTGTTAAATCTACATTATGATAACAATGATTGTTTAGAACTATGTTTAAATTTTGAGTGTTACTTTCCTTTAAAAATTCATCTTGTTGAATTAAAAGTTGCAAATAAAGTCATAATAATAATTTGAAGTAAGAAATTAAACTGCAACCCAATGTCTTTAGAAAAATGTAAAAGAAAAGTAGAAGAGAAAGGAAGTAGTATTATTTTTTCCAAGATGAATTAGAAATTATACACTTTTGTGATTTTGCATGAAATAAAATTACAGGTTTTATTTATTAGGGTACACAGCTTCCAAAAGTTTATACAGCTGATATAGCTATTAAATATATATAAATATAGCTTTATGTCATCCCAATTCAATGAAACTCTATTGGCTGATAAGCATCTATGATCCATAATGAAGATAGTTTCCAGTATTTTTTTGAAGGCTACAAACTTAATCAGAATCCAAGTGCTACTAAGTTGTATTAAGAAATAAAGAAAATTAAAAGTATTTAGTTACGAACACATGCATAGTGTTTCTGTACATGTGGAAGAAAAATTTAATAAATCAAAGAACAGAATACATTATAATTATTTATTCTTAAATTTGATCCCACTTGGAAAGGTTTTGCTGAAAATTTGGAAAACTTTCATAATTTGTCTATTTTTAGTTTAGCAAATTATTCAATGCAAGTTTAGCAAATTAATTCAAGATACCTGAATTATTTGAAATAAATGTTAGGCTGAGAATTCAAAATTTAGTTGTTGATACATTTGAATTTCAACACCAACAGAGATTTCCTTAAATTCCAGACTTTAGATTTCAGATAGAAAATAAATATAAATCTGAATTTTTCCATTGTGTTATTATTATTGTTGTTTATGTATGTTTTGATAAATTAATAAATTTAAAATTTAATTAAAAATTTATTTTGTTTTAAAAAAAATCTGGCCTATCAGTTGCTTTTAGATTTTGCATTCATCCCTCATGTAATTTGAATTTGAGACCACTGATTTATTTTATGGCAATATTTATAGTATTTTAAAAAGAATAAATGTAGTCTTTAAATATGATTTAGTGAAAAGGTGCTACAAAAATATTAAAAAACTGCCAATTCCACTATTTCATAGTCTAATTATTGTACATATCTTTTTAGTTTTTATATATTACTATAACAGAGCTTTAGAATTAATTTCAACATGAACTTAAACTACATTTTATTCATGATAAAAATTAATTTTACACAAAATATTTTTTAATGTGATACACCTAAATTCATTTCTTCAATATCACATTAACACTATATTGCAAAGATACCACAAAATAATCTAATTAGCGTTAAATGCATTCCACAATATGAATGAAATCAAATTAAACATAATGCAGTTTTATGCATATCTGAAAATCATATCAAAATTTTTATTTTTATGACTCTGAAAATATAAATCTAGAAAAATCTTCAGTCATAGATAGTAAATTGATAAAAAAAAAATTAGAATGCTCTGAACAGCCTGCAAAAATTGTGCCATGAAAACTATTCAACAGTTTTTACCACATCACCATTTTGAAATGTTATGCACCAAAATATATATATAGTATATGCTAGCTTTCATTTTATTACTGCTAAAGTTACAAATCATTTGAGCATGATACATGCTATAAATATTTATTTATATTATTCAATTATTTCAATAGAATATTAATAAGGCATCAGTAATTTAAGTGACAGAATTTATAACACTGAGAGATTATTTTTAAAAATATCTTAACACAATTTGCAAAAGAAAAAAAAAAAAAAAAAGGATGGGAGCTTATTATGAAGAGTAATCCAGTTATATACACTATTTGCATACAGCTGCATATACAGATTTATAGGAAAATCATACATTTTCAGGACTACTGTTCTTTCTAATTATCTTTGGAAACATCTGCAAATACTGAATGGGAGCAGAGAAACTATGCTCGTGTGCATGTAGAAGATACGACAACGATAAGAAGGGTTAAAATACCCTTTATTTCTCACAGTTTACATCCATTCCTGCACTTTGGGATACAAAGACCAGCACTTATGGTCTAAAACATAGAAAATAAGAAGTCAAACTAACTTAACTAAATGAGAACTAAACTTAGATACTTTACAAATATTAGTAACGCAAAGACTGGCCTCTTAACTCCACATAAGTAGTGAGCAGAATGCAGGAAACTACAATACATCTTCAAGTATCAGCGATAATTAAGTTTTGGCCTTAAAGGCAGACAGGACTGAAAAGCATGTGTGTGGTAAGGCAGCAAGAAGTCTCTCTCTAACTCTCTCTTTTGCCTAAAAGCCGTATCTTAAATACGTAACAGTTTGCAAGTTCATTTGTATAAACAAAACTAATCACACTTATTCTGGCTGGAAATGGAAAATAAGAGAGGATAGCAAAGTTTTAAAATAAAATAAACACTAGTAAAACTTAAAATCCTTACAACATTAGACACCACTTAACACGACTGCAGTTAATGTTATCATTCAGATATGAATATTGATTTGCGAAAGTCTGTTCTGTTTGTATACAAAAACATATAAAATACATCACATATTGTGATCAACAATATGGAATCGTTAATCTCAGAAGATGACAATACTTTTGGCAATAAAGTGGGGACACACAGAAATTGTAGACATAACAAATTCAATTGATTTAAACAAAGAATGACGTTAAAAATGCTCTTTTTCTCCCTTTTTTATATTCTGATCTCCTGCATCTTCTATCATATAATCTATGACATTCAACGTAAAGCATCTTAATATCCCAATCTCTATATCTCAGCTTTTTAATGCATTCAAGTGTCTTCCCAATTATGCAGGATGAATCTCTGTTGTAACAGCTAGATTAAAATGCTCATTATATGGACAATTACTTGTAGCACTATATTCAGTGAAGTATCAAATTCAATAGGGAAAACTTATTGTTTTAAATAAACATACAATTAGAATGTTTTTGTGATGTTATTTTATTAAAATGTTTTTCTCATTGAAGTCTCTGCTCAGTGTGGTGAAAGGGCATCTCCCTCCCCCAAGTATTTTTATTACTTATACATCCATGATATATTATTTCTCTTTAAATAGTCTATGTATTTACTCATACTTTCTTTGATAACATGTTTGTGTTAAGTTTTATTTGTTATTTTGTATCATTCTATTACTCATATGTTATTTTTTGGCCTGGATGCAATAAAAAATTTTCTTTTATCAATTAATAATAATAGCTTCTTTGTTTTAGGCTATTTAAGCCTAAGAAATGTTTAAATTATATGAATGTTTTACATTTATTTAACAGAGAAAGCTACACCATATCAGCTAACTTTGAACGATGAAAACCAGAAGGCATTTTCATAAAATCTGGGGAATTTCCAGCAAATTTTTATGACACCATTTCAAAAGAACACCAAACTGACCTAAATTTCCTTTGTAGTACATAATTCGGTTAACTAAACTATTTGTAATGCGATTATAATGCAAAACATATTAATATTTAATTACATATTCTAAATTTTATGTTTTTTTTGACAATTTCATTTTGTAATCTTCTTACACTCTTACATTGAAAAAAAAAACTATGGAAGAAAAGCTTTTATTTAGTACTTTTTAATGTGATAAAATAAAATTAATGAACATAAAATTAGAGTTAATATGGTACTATTTATTAATGTGAAACAAAATTAAATACTAATATTAACTGACTAAATATTGGTTGAATGTTCAAAAAAAAGTTCTGCAAATGCCTTATAGTTCAAAAATTTAGATGACATGTAGTTTAATAAGGAAAATTATGCTGCAAATCACTAGCGGTAAGACAAAGGAATTTGTACAATAAGTTTAATTTATTGCTCGGAAATATTTTTCTAGTTTTCTTTAGTAAAAACTGAAAATTAAAAAAAACATGAGATCTGATGATTTCCCTGGGAGATTTGGAAACATAATGAAAAAACTGGAAGAGCTGGCAGCTATGCCATATAAAATGAATTCATTTTGATAGTAAAGTATAATATAATCATTGCAATGCTTTTGAAATATTTCATGAAATAAAATAAAATAAAAGTGCCTTATTAATTTTTATCTGATAGAAGCTACAATCTCAGTGTGAAACAGGTACAATATCTCTTTTCAACCACAGATGAAAAAGAAAAAATAAATTTGAAATATTTACACATGTTTGACAGAGGCACATATAGAATAAAAGACAGAAAGGTTATGTATTATTTATAGATAGCAAATTCTGCACATATACATAACAAATATGACAATTTTGCATACATAATTTTACTACCTAAATATACTACATTATTACACTGCTGGCCACCCAAATTGCAATACCAAGAAAGACAAGAGGTATCACAACAAAATTTATTTAGTAGATAACATGTTGACCAAGTATCAAATGATTAAATTTATAGACTTCTGTGAAGTGTGGTTCCTTCCAGAATCAGTAGCCAGAGTAGCCGCCATTGTTGGAGATCACTGCTACCACACATCCTGGCAATGATTCAAAGAGACTTTGGATGTGTTTCTTGGGGTACAGCAGACCAAGCAGCTTCCACCCATTGCCAAAGTTGATCTCGTGTGGCAGCTTGGGATGTAATCTGGGTCAATCGTTCAACAACCATGCACTACATGTTTTCTATCGGCAAAAGATATGGAAACAAGCTGGCCAGGGATGCAATTCAATCTGGCGATTGATGAAGAACCCTTGGACAATGCGTGCCATGTGTGGCCGTGCATTATCCTTTTGAAATATGGCTGCGGGCAAGCTCTGAAGGTAAGGAAGGACAACTGGCTCCAACACCTTGGAGATGTAGCGCTGGCTGTTTAAAGTACCGGCAATACGTGCTAGAGGAGTGCGAAAGTGATATCCAATACCGCCCCATACCATAATGCCCAGCACAGGACCAGTGTGGCAGTGCATAACGCAGCTGTTCAACATCCTCTCTCCACGCTCCAGACTCGAATCCGACCATTGTGGTGTTGCAGACAGAAGCATGACTTGTCAGTAAAGACAATTTCATTCCAGTCTGCCATCCACATCCTTCTTTCATCGCACCATTGGTGGCGGAGACATCTGTGGTTCTGCATCAAGGGTAGACGATGCAATGTACATCTTGCAGACAGACCACTCTGCTGTAAACGGCATCGAATGGTGCGCACAGACACTGGATGATACACTGGATTACAGACTGAATGTGCTGTGCTATGGTTCGTGTTGTGACTAAGCGATCCTTTTCTGCCATGCGCATGATGTTCCTGTCATCCCATGAAGTTGTGCACTGAGGTGGATGCGATCGAACACGTTGGTCCGTCGTAACCTCCTGCATCCAATGGTCACATATCCACATTACAGTTGTTTGATTTCGTCCAACACGGCTACCGATTTTCCTGAAAGATAATCCACACTCTCGGTAGGCCACTATCCTTCCTCTGTTGAACTTGGATACTTGATCAAATGATGATCGCTGTTTACTACGAGACACAATTGATCGTTTTTTTTTTTTTTTTTTTTTTTTTTTATTTTTTATTTTTTTTTTTTTTTTTTTTTTAAAGACAAGAAAAACACAATTGCTGAACTTGAAATCATCAAAAACTCCAAGCCTTAAATAGCGCTTTGAAGTGGTGCCACAGGTGAGTGCGATGTGCTTCTGCACTGAAATCATTTGCATATCTCACCTCCACTAATGCATGTTGTAAATTTCATGTTATTTGTATGCTTCCTTCAGGGTGTTGCATTTACGGTGGCCAGCAGTGTAATTTATCAGAATAAATAGATTCTTCTGAAGATGCTACTGCAATCATACAGAAATGTTGATAAGTTCACAGGATGGGGCAAATTAGTTCTTATGAGATGGTACATTAAATACATGTTGTTTCAGTATATTGAAAACTTTTTAATAAAAATTATTTCTCTTCCAATATCAAAAAAGTTATTAAATATTTTAGAACTGAATTATTTATGAGAAATGCAATTGCAGATAAAGTACCAAAAAGGTAATTTTAAGTCACAGACTTTTTTTTCAATCATGATACTTAAAATTCCTTGATTAATATCTACTTTTATTCCATACTTACAGAAATCAACTTATGCTTTTATAGGGCAAAGACTACATTAGTTTGTGATTATTACTTCAAGTTCAACTAATTTTCATGCATGAATCATGATTAAGATTGTTCAAATTTTCCTAAACCTTTTTAGAGTTACTTACTAAAATATTAAATCTCTAGTAAATCATTCTAAAGACATTTCCTTAGCAGGGCTAACATTAATATGACAAGACAAAACTAGATATTTCCACCAAAATTTGAAAAAGAATGTCTGTATTTTCTTTCAATTTCTTTATTACATTTGGTTATCTTTGAATGTTTTCCCTTTAGACATGGATACCAATAAATTGATAGTTTCCATTTAATCTTCTAAATATGTAAAAAAATATTATACACTTTTCATATTATTATTACTAAACAAATTCTTTCCCAAATTTTAGACCAGCAACAGATTTAAATAAAGAAAGAATACAGCACACTTTTGTAAACACTGGGAATATCCAATAAAACATTAAGCATTACATATATATAATCCCCTTCCAAACCACACATTTATAATTCAATATGAGGAATTGAAAAAATATTGGTAACATTTAAGTATATAAAAAATTCAAAAATGTTAATATAAAGAAATTAATGTGAAAAATAAGAATATGATATACTTCATCTCATCAATGGTAAAGATTATCAGGCCAGCAATTTACAGTTTAAAAACTTGATGTACAGAAGATAAATCAAATGACATTTGAAATCCTTTGTTCAGGTGTGAAATGCTGCTAATTTAACAAAATTAGTTTATTGCTATTCATATTTTATTTTTATAGAATTAACATATTTTTAATCTGCAGAAAACAGTGGCATAGCTAGGGTGGGGCAAAGGGGGGACATCTGTCCCCGGACGCAGCATCCAAGGGGCGCCAAATTGATGCTACGAAATTTTTTAATCAAATGTTTTCCCTTCTTGGCACACAGAAAGGGACACAAATTCTTCAGTTGTCCCTAGGCGCTGGAAACTCTAGCTATGCCCCTGGCACAAAATAAAATACTATATATGAAAGAAAATAAATATATATTTCTATGCATTATTTATAAAGGTAAACAGATAACACATCACTTAAAAAAATACTAATATTTCACTACCTAAGTGTAAACAAACTGGTAAATACACATACTTCACATGTCACACCATTTGAAGCCCGCCTTTGTGTGGCAGAATACCTAACTTGGAATGACGGCAGAGTGTTATGACGTTCAGCTGATAATGCTCGTACAGGAAAAGGTTTTGTCATGGCTATGGGTTCTTCAGAAGTCTGCTTCCTTCCTATAATAAATATAATACCAAATAATTAACATGCCTTTGATGTCTTATTTATCACATTACATATCACAATTCTACATTAAAAAATAAAATTATGCAAAAGCATTTTCAAATTTTTTTCTCTTATGATTTTCTATCAAAATTTTCAAACAAAAATTCAGTCAATAATGATTGCTTATAAACACAGTCAACCCTTACTATAGCAAACCTTCAAGAAACATGCACAAAATTTTTGCTTTGCTATATCTCAGGTTCAAAACAAATTTTGAGGGTTATCTGATAAGAAAAATTAACAGTCTTGCAAAAATTGCAAAAGTTGACAGATGACTTTCAAAATATATATATAATCCCCTTCCAAACCACACATTTATAATTATAAACAATCCTTTTGGGGGAGAATAAATAAATAAATGGACTATAAAGAAATAATAATAATTAATTCACTACAAAAAATATAATTTCCTATTCATATAAAGCAGATCACAGAAAATTTTTCTTTAAATTTTTATTCCAAAACTAAAATTATTCCAGCATTCTTGGTTCTAGATTTTAAGGAAACAAGACATTGTTAATAACATGCATTGCTACTTTGATGATCAGGAGTCCAGTGGTTCACAGTGGTCAGAAGTGTACTTTCCACAAGCTGTATTTCTTCAAGTCTTCAATATTAACATTTTTTAATTAATTTCTATCACAATATTTTTGACATTTACATCTTTATATGCATCATCATCATTAGCACATATCTGAAACAGCTTCAAGTCATATCCTAAAAATGCTGAACTACTGCTTTTCCTAGCCACCTCAGGATAAGTAATTCCTTTATATCTTTGTCTTCAACACCTTTTGTTAGACAAATTTACCAAAACTATCTTAAATGGTGAATTTATTAACATTTAATAATATTTTTAGCACTTGTATTGCACAAAAAAGGAATATATTACAATCTGTATGTTTGTCATACCCTTTAAAATATGTACACTGCTCAAAAAAAAAAAAAAAAAAAAAAAAAAAAAAAAAATGGGACAGTGCTATATTTCCCGTTCTACTGCGCCGATTGACAAAATTCAACCTGCGTTTTTCATGTCTCGAAAGCGCGACTTAGGATATATATTAGATTTATATATAGCACTATTCTAACATAGGTATTTTGACACAAAATTGGATTTTTCTGAAATAACATACCAATTTTTTTTTACATATTTCGATTCTACGACTCAAATTATGCCAGAATACCAAGTTTGTAAAAATCGTACGAGTAGTTTTTAAAATATTAGCTCTCAAATTTTTAGCTCCTCAATGTTTAATTGAATTTGGCAAATATTTATTAATATCCCTTTTTTTATTAAACTTTTTTGATTTTTTCTCTCACATTTCAAAATTTAGGTTCATTCCAAATAAAATTTACCCATTTTTTGTGTTACATTTTTAAAATTTCTATTTTAAAATAATTTTTATAAATTTTTCGAAAAAAATTTTGAATTATAACCTATAAAATTTTTACCATCTTAAAGTAGGTGTATTTTTAAGCATATCTGAAAAAAATTAGGCTTTTTTATTCAAAATTTTCTAAGATATACACGAATTTACATATTTTCGAGTTTTGAAATTTGGCATCTTTTTTTGAGCGATAATAACGCCAAATGTGGTCTATGGAATTTTGTACACTAAATTGCCTATGGAGATTTCCTGTTAGTTTTTACCACCAATCCTCGAATTCCATATCACAGATTATGTTCTTACTGCATTAATATAAATATTAACAAGACATAGTGCACAATAAAAATTATGCTTTATTTCGGAACTTCGCGCACACTCCCCGACAGCCTGCCTGTTTCGCTCTGCTCGCTAATCGTAAGAAACTTCTCCTCTAGGGTTGCCACACTTATCGGAGGGCGCAAGGCGTGCTCCTTATCGCCATCACCACAGAGTTTCCCCCCAGTTCCTTTAATGGCTATTCAAAGGAACGACATAGGTTATGAAATTATCTCAGAGGATCCGTACTGTCGGGTATTTTTACATGATTACAAAATTAGAATATAAAATTAGAAAAGATCAAAATGCAATTCAATATAAACAAAGTATTGACACATATAATAACATGAAATAACAAGAAATAGTTGTTAAGATATGAATTTTAAAAAAAAGTGTTTTAAATTGTTATGTAAGAAGCAAGTTTCTTAGGGAAGTGAACATGTCTTCCCGATCTGGTGACAGTTTGTGTCTTAGAGAGTTCGTTTGCAGATTTATTCTGCTGAACTGTCTTTAAGTCTTTATTTGTTTTCAGTCAGTTCAGGCAAATTAGAGTCCGAAAGCAAATAGGCTGGTGGTTTCACCGGTCTATAGACACAGTAGATTTCAGACCGTTAATATCAATTGTGAAAGTTTTGTCCGTTCTAGAAAGGACTTTATGCGGACCTGTATATGGTTGGCACAGAGGTAGCTTTACTCGATCGACACGTAAGTATACATGCGTACAAGACTTTAAGGTAGCACTTACGTAACATTTTTCTTGGCAATGTGCAGATGTTGCTATTGGATTTAATTGTTGCATTCTATGCCGAAGATTCGTGATAAATTGTGTGTCATACGGAGATATCTTAGATGACGTTATCATATCACTAGGCAGCTTGAGAGTTGTGCCGTAACACCAGTTCAGCACAAGATGACTGTAGATCTTCCTTTACGGCTGTCCGAATACCAAGCATTAACAACTGGTGTGTTTCAGTCCAGTTATTGGTCTCGTGAGCCTTGAGAAAGATTTTAAATGTCGATGAAATCGTTCAACAATGCCGTTGGACATTAAATGATAGGCGTTGTTGTGATTCTGTTCGTACCCAAAATGCGCGTAAATTCTTAAAAAATTGCGGATCTCATTTGAGAACCTTGGTCTGTTGTTGTGATCGATGAGCAGCCAAAACGAGATATCCAACAGTTGAGATGGCTCTGCCAAATGGTTTCCGTTTTCATATCCGGGATGGGAATGGCTTCAGGCCATCTGGAGAGAATCTATATTAGAGTCAAAAGGTACACGTTGCCTTCTGATGGAGTAACGGTCCGACGATATCCATATGGATTTTCTGAAAAACGTGCATCAGGAAGAGAGAATGTGCCTAGTGGTGCTTTAGTATGCCTAGTAATTTTCGATTTTTTGGCAAGATTCACAGGATTTCACCCCAATTTTGATATGACGTTTCATGTCGGGCCATACATAACGAAAACAAATAAGCTTCGTAGTAGCTGCAATTCCTGGATGTGACAGATTATGCAGATGATTAAGATGAGTCTGCGAAAGGAAATTCGGAACAAATGGACGAGGAATGTCCGTTGATATGTCACACAGAATATTACCATCAGAATATTGGCACGGTTTAAATTTCAGTTTCAAAGATGATGTGTTTGTTTTTGAGAAGGTCTTGTACCTCCGGTCATGCTGTTGAGCTTCCGAAAATTTTTTAAAATCCAAAATGGAGATTTGTTATGGAATCAATTTCGATTCTTGAAAGAGCATCAGCAACAACGTTTTTTTAACCTTGCATATGCCTAATATCAGTAGAGTACTGAGAAATAAAATCTAAATGTCGCAATTGTCGAGGTGAACATTTATGAGGGTTCTGTTTAAAAGCATATATTAACGGTTTTTGATCCGTATAAATTATAAAATTTCTGCCCTCTAACATGTGTCGGAATTTCTTAATTTGCAGAATGAATTGAAAATAATTCCCTATTCGTACGATTACCATTTCTGTTGACTTTTATTGAGTTTCATAGAGAAAAATGCTATAGGTTCCCATGTTTGTTGAGACAACTGCATAAGTGTGCCGCCTATTGCGACGTCTGATGCTTAGGTGGGCTCCGGGAATAGGGTGTCTCAAAAGGGTAGCCTGAGCAATGGCATTTTTGGCAGCAATAAAGGCTTGTTCAGCATTCTCGTTCCAATTTAATTGTGGGGATGAATCCTGAACACGAGAACGAGATTTCTTTTTATTAATATAGCCTTCTAACAATTTTATTAAAGGAGAAAGAATATGTGCTGCTTTAGGTATGAAACATCTGTAAAAGTTAAACATGCCTAAAAATCGGCGAAGCTGAGTGAGAGTGGTAGGTTGAGGAAAATCTAAAATACATTTGACTTTGTCAGGAAGAGGTTCAATTCCGTTTCCACTAAGGTGGAAACCTAAGAAATCAATAGAAGTTTGACCAAAGGTGCATTTTGAAACATTTATGCAAAGTCCATATTCCTGAAATTTGGAAAATAAAGCTTTCAAATGCCTGCAATGTTCCTCAGAATCTTTAGAGGCTATGAGCAAGTCATCGACGAAAGCGTAAACACCTTCTAAATCCCGCGTGACTTCATTATAAAACGTGAAAAGTCGCGGATGCATTGCATAAGCCGAATTGCATACGGGTACTTTCGAATAAACCGAATGGTGTGCATATGGCGGTTTTGTGGATGTCGGCTGGGTATGGGTTAATGGTATTTGATGGTATGCCTTAATCAGGTCGACATGACTAAAAATTTAGTACGTGCAATGCAGCAGTAAAATCGGCTCTAAGCATGGAATAGGGTATTTGTTTATTGTTGTTGAGCGTTCAATGCTCGATAATCTCCTACAGGTCTCCATTCCAGACTTCCCTTTTTTGGAACCATGTGAAGTGGGGATGCATAATTGCTGCTCGAAGGTCTCAAATGCCCCAATTGCATCATAGTTTGAAATTCTTGTTTTGCTATTTTTAAGTGATCTGGAGCTAACCGACGGGTTTGCAACCACAGGTGGACCTTAGTTATGATATAATGAACGGTGTTGTGTTTAACAGGTTGGTTAGGATCTGGTAAATCTAGTAACTGAAGGAAATTCTTTTAAAAATGTTGTGATATGGTGTATCACTAAATACAGTTTTTTACTGAATAAATGCTTGCATTTTTCACGCAACCGACGGTTTTTTTTAAAATGCGTTTTAAATCTTTGAGACATTTGTTTCTGAGATCAGGCACCAATTCA